ATTAGTATCTCAAAGGGTTTTTTTCCAATGTAAAGTCCAGAGTCTTTGAGCATTCCAAAGGAATGCCAAGGTTTTGGCAAGTGAACTATAAGTCACTTCAGTCTTGTTATTTCCTTGTGTATCCTTCAGCTTCTAACTCTAGGTGACACCTGAGTTTCCTCATCAGCTTTGAAAAATAAATGTAAGAAGTAGGTGATCATTTAAATCTTGAGTTTATAGGTTGGTAAGATGAATTACAAGGCACTTAAAATATTTGGGAAGGGTCACCAGTTTCATACTGGGAAGTCTCTTATCTTTAAGGCATGTGGCAAAACTTGTTCTGCATTTACCAGAAAGCAACTTTTACAGTAAAGTATATGACGGGCTGAATTAGAATTTAGTTTGGTTTTGGGGCAGAGATTTTCAAGGTGCAAAAAGAGAAACTGTCAAAGGCTGCATAACAGAGAAGCTTATCAGAACCTCTGCCAACAGGCTGTAATAAAACAACCAGCCACCCTGCTGTACCTATTCCCCTGAAAAAAGAAGAGTTCAGGGGTTTCTTGTTGGTTGGTTTTGGGTTTTTTTTGTTGTTGTTGTTTGTTTGTTTGTTTTGGGGGTCTATTTGTGTGTGGGGTTTTTTTTTTAAAGTTATATGCCATTTGATAAAAATGGACTTATAATACTAAATCTGAACTTGGTTTGTACTTTTGGTTCATAAGGGACTTCTCTTTCCACACAAGTTGGGTGTCACTGTGCACTGAAAACCAGTGGTGCTTCTTCTAAGGCAGTTAAAAATTTGACTTAATAGACTTTGCAGCCAGTTTTCTATGGCATTTCATAGAAGATGATCCTGGTTAAGAAAGACAGGGAGCGGAATATCCCACCCTTTCCTTGACAGGACTGAAGGCTCTAGTTTGCAAGAGCATTGATGGTCACAGGTTGTTCACAGGTGAGTAGGACTGCAGAGGGCAGGGAAGGGGCTTAGGTTGCAACACTACCCTTGTGTGTGGAATGACACCACCCAAAGAGCCCAAATTTGAGTTAGAGACTGGAGTCAAGCTTATGGCAGTCCAACAGAGAGAAGCCTGAAGACACTGGCCTCCCAAGTAAAAGGAAAATGCAACTTCTAATTCTTTATGCAAGAGGAAATAGCTCATATTTATTCTTTAAGAATTCCAGTTAAAGGCGTAAGCAAGTGATTGCTAAGAAGAGATCTGAGTCAGGTTTTTCTACGTCAAACGAGGCACAAAGCTGCAACTGCTACCTCACACCAGAGAACAATAATACCCTTAAGTTAATTTCTAGACTATTTTCTTTGTTTTACTTCCCTGACGAAGTAAAACGAAAAAGAAACCACCTTTAGAAAACAACTGCTGAAACAAAACCTAGATTTTATGCAGTTGTAGATATGACAAGTCTTGGCATATCTGTGAAAAAAATGGGGAAAAAAAATCAAGTAAATAATGGTCTTCCTTCTTCAGGCCTTACTCTGCCCCACTCCACTCCATCCCACCCTACTCCACTCCAGACAGCATTCCTTGCCCATAGTGTGGCTGGAACACAAATCTCACTGAAAATTGCCTGATGAAGGCTTTTTTCAGTATAAACCTCAGGTAGTAAAGGATATTAAAAATATGGCACAATGTAACTGTTTAGGTCGTTCATGACCCCCAGGCACACAGAGGCAGGTTTGGAATTATTGGGTTAAAGTTGTGACCCAAAAGACATAATCAGAAGTGTCTGTTTGTAGCAACTGCTTATAGTTAGGGGGAACTTAGCTACTAAAGAAAATGGGGATAAACTCGTCTGAAAATGAGAGGCCTGGCCATTCAGTATTTTCCACCTGATTCAAAGAAGTGAAGCAAGAGAGATTTACACCCCCTCAAACCTCTTTCCAGTGTTGGAGAACCAATGACTGGTGTCTGTTTGGTGCACCTCCGGCACTTTGTTATTCTAATACCTAAAAAATGCAAGTTAGAACTGAATACTTAAACATTTGCTCCTAAATAATTAAAAGTACAGGAAAATAAGGAGTCTAGTAACCATGGCAGTGTTGGATCAAGGGCTGAACTTATTTCAGAGGTCTTTTCCAACCCGGTTGATTCTGTGATTCTACAAAGAAAAAAGTGGTATCTTCTGATTAGTGCAAGACTTTCAGATCCAAGGCTCCTCAGTTCTGTATCTTAGTCACGCACTGCACAGCCCCAAGGGTGTTGAAATATTTTACTGATTGAATATCCCCAAAAAAAAGAAAAAAAAAAAAAGTTGTTCAGGTGTGATGCACTGCCCACTGAATCCTGCCCGTCTTTCCGTTTGACTCCCTTTTGGATCGCGTTTAGACTTTGTTCCATTAAAGAAAAGCAATCCTGCCTCGGCAGAAAGCTCTGGAGTTTATTATAGAACAGGTGAGCGGCGAGCATTTGATTACATTGGCTGTGATCCCACTTGTGTGAGGGATTTGCAGAGGCCGAGGTGGAACACTTGCAGCCTCGCCCCTGTTTAAATTAACGAGGTCTTCCCGCCAAAAGGCCAGTTCCACGCGTGGGAAGAGCACTGCAAGGAGGTGGAAACTCAACATGGGGTCTTGGAATTACCTTTGGCATTTCATCTTCTCCCTTTTTCTCTGTAAGTTAAAATCTATTTGATTATTTGCCACTGCTATGTATTTGGAGGATGTCCTTGAGATACGTTTGAAACGATAATCAGGAGGGGGGGGGGGTGCATGGCTAAAAACAAACATAAAATACAAAAGCATGCACTATTTACAGTTATTTGTTTTTAATTTAGCTTGAATATGTAGTATTTCATCAGGTATTTTAGTTGGGATATAAAGCTGTAAGTAGTTCAAAGGAGGAGAGCTAAGTATTCAGAAAACTCATCTAAAAGATGAAACACGCAGTGTCTGACCAGATTTTTTTTAACCTTAAACTTAGTTACGAGACCACTAAATGATGTATTTTGCCAATTTTTCCTCCTCTGAAAGACTCACCAGGAAAAGACTCATAAAAAACATGGACTAGGTTGTATTAATTGTGCTGTGTTCTTACTGCACTGTAAGAGTTTTTTGAAATACCTAGAAATTCAGAGGCTGCATTATTTTATCCTTGCTGTCTTGTTTCATGTCATTCAATGCAGATGAACACAAGTTTCTTGAGTGATCAGTACTTGCTGTTAACAGTCTGAGGGATACAACCACGAGGGTCTTAAAATTCAAACTGTATTTGCGTGCAGAAAATGTATCAGTCTGTAGGAGGAATTTTGCAAAGTATGTATTGCTACATTACAAGTTTTTATGTATATACCAAACAATATGAAAAAAACACCCCACTTCAATTTTACGGGTAGGTAGAGTCAAAAGAAGTTAATTAATGCGGTTCTTAAGAATTTGAGCTACTCCAGTACAAATTCTCTGAGAATCCTTTTAAGTTTCATACAGCCAAAGCCCCAGGATAATAACTAAGTGTTGCTAAGGAGTAAAACTGGCATGAAACAGAAGACTTATGTCTGTGTTTTTAGCAGGAACAAAGCCACTCCTCAAAATCAAGGTTAAACTACTTCATCAAGTAAATGAAATGAGCCAAAATTGGCTTGACTATCTAATCACAACAGAAAAAGGATTTGATTTTCCCTTTAAAGAAATTTTGTGAGCGTTGGAAATGTCATCTTTACACTTGCAAACTAAAGAAGTTATGATTTATTTATAGTTAGAGATACAGGTAAACACAGGAAGGCAATGAATTTTTTCACAGGATTATTATGATTTACGATATCAACAGAAAGATAGGCACAGAAAAATCTTTCTATCCTGCCTGACAGACAGTAAATAAAAAAGGCAGAAATGCCTTGCAAAATAAAAAAAATGGAAATAATCAAATATGCATAAACAGCTAAGGAGAAAATGATGCTGAAAAATGCATTCCATTCATTTTTAATATTCCTTGTTAATTCTCTAGAAATTGTACTTTACACAGATCATAGGGTGATCAAATAATTTAGGTTGGAAAAGACCTTTAAGATCATCAAGTCTAAACTTAAACTTACCACTGCCAAGTCCACCACTAAACCCTGCCCTAACTGTAAATGAAATAATATTTACAGGAAGAGAAGAACACTAAAAAAATTGAAAAAATATGTAGACTAGAAACAGCAAAGCATATATAAAGGTAATATAAACCTCTAAATTTATTACCAGGAAATCAGTAAGGTAAAAAGCTCCTTAAATGTATGCAAATGGAAAAGGAAATAACGTAGAAATTTCATAGTAGTTAAGAAATAGCAAAGAAAACATGAAACTAGAAATGAAGAGGGAAAGGAATAACAATGAAGATGAGAAAGATAAGTGAACTTGTCACGCAGGAATGAAATTACACTTGGTAGACTATTGAAGTGCTTCACAGGAATAGAGGGTAAATATCCATAATCCACATTTTTAAAATGTGACAGGTACCAAGACTGGAATGACAGAGGGAAGAAATGTAACGACTGCCACCGCTCAGATCCACATAAATGGCTCTGTGAGCACAGAACCAGGTGGGACATCTGGCCCGGCTGCACACAACTCCAGTGCCACCACGGCTGAGCCCAATGCCACGACAGCCCCTTCCCTCCTGGACACATCCTTTCTGTCCCCCTCCACAATGAGGATGGTGGGTGGAGAAGGGAGGACAGAGACTGAGCCCACAGGGCCAAACAGGGAAGGCAGCTCACTGGGGACATCTGCCAGGAGTGATGTGGTGAGCCCAGCCACCCCTACAGCAGGGCCTGCCACCACTGCCACTTCCATGGGCACAGGGAGTGTCACTGCTTCCTCCCTGCCCAGCTCGGCAGGGACCAGCCACTCCTTGTCCTCTCCTGGTGGCTCCACAGCTGCAACTCCCAGTCCACAGCGAAGCAGCACCAGCAGCACCACTGAGGAGCACTTGGCCACCACAGCCCTCCCGTCCACGACACTCGTGGTCTCCACTCTGTCCTCCACTTCTGGCATTACGAGTGTTCAGTCGGCTGCTGTGACAGCAGGGCACATGACACACAGCCCAGCTACCCCCAGGACAGTGGCTTCCACCTCTGGCACCCCTCCTGCCTCAGATACCACCGAGGCCAGCCTTTCATCCACCCTGGGCGGCAACACGGAGACATCGGCAGCTCAGCACACCTCCACACCCCTCACACAGGGACAGGCCATGCTGGAGGCAGGGACCACTCCATCTTCCATGGGGAGTCCCTTGTCTCCCACACCCACGGCCTCCATAGGCAACAGTGCCACGACTCCTCCTGGAGAAGGGGAAAGTCCCACCATCAACCAGGGGAGTGGAATGACAAATGATCCCAGTGCTGAGACCTCCCATTCCCTCCCTGGTACATCCTTGGCGACCCCATCCACGCCGAACCTTAAAATGTCGACGTCTGTCAATCCTTCTGTTACTGGAACTTGCTGTGAGTATTTTAACACATGATACTAAATGTAATTTTCTCTATTTTTGGAAGAGTTGAGTGTAATTTCATTTTTGCTATTTTTGGTTGGAATTTGAGCTTTCCACAATGTCTTTTTTAAGTTGGGAATTTAAGCCAGGAGTATGAATCCCTGCCTCTACATGCTTTTCTCAGAGACTGCAGCTGCTGTCTGCAGTTGTTTTTGAAATGGCACACCTTTGTGTGGTGTGCCACTGATGTAAAATGCTATGTAGTTATGCTGCATAGGTCAAGTTATTCTAGTGGGAAGTTTTATTGGTTTTTGTTTGAGTTTCGAAATTCTCTTTTTTGAAATACTAGAGGCAGTTCCTTCACTGAGAGAATTCTACTGAATTTATTTGTGCTAACTCAGTTCCTGTTTGTTTCAATAGTAATTCTTTTCTGGTGTATCTTTAGTTTTTTGCCAAAGGGCTATCTGCTGACTTCAAAGAATATGCAGTAATGAATCTTTCATCATTTTTAATGGATAAAAAAACAAAGATAGAAAAGAGGAGAATGCAGTCTTTTTATATTCTGCACCAAAAAAAAGAAAAAAAAAACTGATGGTATGATCTTCATTTTTAGTGCATAATAATATTCTAGTTCTACAAATCTAATGGGTTAATCCTTCCTGGATTTGGAGTCTTAGTGCTTTCATGGAATTCAACAGGAGATACACACTTGCACGTGAGGAGGTATAACTTGTTTTTTCACAAAGGCTCAATGGCAGGGCAGACCAGTGATGAGTGGTGTCATCAGGGGTCTGTTTTGGGTTTAACATGTTTGTGGGTGACAAGGACAGTGGGATCAAGGGCACCATCAGCAAATTTGCTGATGACACTAAACTTGTGTGGTGCAGTCAACATGCTGGAGGGAAGGGATGGCATCCAGAGGGACCTGGACAGGCTTCAGAGCTCGGCCTGTGTGAACCTCATGAAGTCCAGCAAGGCCAAGTGCACGATCCTGCGTATGGCTTGGAGCAATCCTAAGCACTACAGGCTGGGTATGAATGCATTGAGAGCAGCCCTGCTTGGGGGTGTTGATTAACATGTTGTTGAAGCTCAACATGACCCAGCCACGCGCACTGGCAGCCAAATGTGTCCTGGGCTGCATCAAAACCAGTGTGGGCATCAAGGCAAGGGAGGGGATTCTGCCCCCCTGCTCTGGTGAGACCCCACCTGCAGTGCTGCCTCCAGCTCTGGGGTCCCCAGCACAGGAAGAACATGGAGCTGTAGGAGCTGGTCCAGAGGAGGCCATGAAGATGATCAGTGGGCTGGAAGACCTCTGTTATGGAGACAGGCTGAGAGAGTTGAGGTTGTTCAGTCTGCAGAAGGCTCTGGGGAGACCTCAAAGCCCCTTCCAGTATCTAAAGGGCACCTACAAGAGGGACTTTGTACAAGGGCGTGTAGTGACAGGACAAAGGAGAAAGGCTTTAAAATTAAAGAAGGTAGGGTTAGAGTAAATAATGGGAAGAAATTCTTCCCTGTGAGGGTGGGGAGGCCCTGGCACAGGTTGCCCAGAGAAGTTGTGGCTGCCCCATCCCTGGAAGTGTTCAAGGCCAGCCTGGATGGGACCCTGAGCAACCTGGACTAGTGGAAGCTGTCCCTGCCTGTGGCAAGGGGGTTGGAACTAGGTGATTTTTAAGGTCCCTTCCAACCCATTCTGTGATTCTGTGATATGATTCTGTGTTTCATATCTTTATAAAAACCTTACAGAAACTTAAATTTTTTCTTAGGCAATCACTTTCGCATTAATAGTTTATTCCTTAAAGACACACAGACTGTAACTACATGTTTCACAGAGATTTCCTTTTTGCTTTTTAGCTCCTATCACTCTGTCCATCCAGCTGGAGAACGTGACCAGCACAGTGATACAGTTCAGCTGGAAACCTCAAGGTGGCAGAGGAGACAGTCCTTACACAGTGCTTCTACGGGGAAAATCAGGAGAGATGGAGAGGAGAATCCTAAATGAAACAAGTACTGCATTTGAAAATTTGCTTTCTGGTCAGCAATACCAAATATCCGTGGATGTTTCAACTTGCTCTGAGAATGTCAGCGCCTCCTTGACTGTTCAGACAGGTATTTCCTCAGGAATCTTTTCCTTTTCTGTTGGCAAACTAACACATTCATTGGCCTTAAAATGAAGCCCTTTTTCACTGAGCACCTACCTGGACATCAATAGGCAAAAGCAGGCCAAACTTTCAGACACTTAAAGTCAGCCTGCAAATTTTTCACTGGGCTAAGATCTAGAGCTTCACCTGCCCTCCTGCCAAATTAAAAGCTTTACTGAACTAGAACAACAGTGGTTTGATGTTCTAGTCTCTCCCAGCTCCATACACTTTAATTCCAAAGCCTTACTTAACTGAGGAACAATTTTTAAATAATAACTAAATTTTGTCTGGTTATTCTGTCTTGCATATCCCCACAGCTGCTGAAGTCTACAGTGGAACCACTAGGATTATCAATGAAGAGTTCAAGCCTGAATATCAGAACAAATCAAGTAGAGAATTTCAGGAGTTTGAAACTAAGTTCATTACAGAGGTATTTTGCTTAGGAATTCTAAACTAAGATTTATTTTCTGCTGAGCTCTTCCTAATGTAAATAATCAGGAGGATCTGGGCATGAATAATTTTAAATGTGGGAAAGGGAAGATTGTGTGATGGTTAGAAATGAAGCAGTACTTACTAAGGCCTTACTTTATAGTGTTGTCCTCTGAGGCCCTGATCTAACTGAAATTCTGTCTGGGGTTTATACATATTCCCCTACTGTGAGAGGTGCTTCTAAACTAACCATGGCCAGCAGATTGCTCTGAGAACTCTTTTGCTGTACGAGAAAAAGAGTTAATAAGTTAAACCTTTTACCTTGCAGATAACAAAACATCTGCCGCAGAAGATACAAGAATTAAAAAACGGAACAAAAATGTGCATTGTAATTAATAGCATCGAGAATGGCAGTGTGATTGTGCTCTATGACATTGTGTTGGATGAAGGACAAAATATAACAGAACCAGAGATTTCAGATGCTTTTACAGAGGCCCTTAACAAGAGTACAGAATTTGAAGTCGACCCTCAAATGACTGTCATAGAAGGTATGAATTTGTTCATCACTGTGAATTCAATCAGCAGTGTACATTTCACTGCTGGTAACATCCAGTGAAATGGGATTTGGGTGCAGAAAATTAAATAGGATTTAGTTTATCTATCTCTGTTTCCAGTGCTAATTAAAACATTCTTCTTTTTCTGTTTTGTTCAACTTCACTGTAGCAAGGAATAGTTGTCAACCAGATTTAAATGACTGTTCCCAAAATGCCACCTGCATTGCTGAAGGAGCCACTTATTCCTGTCATTGCAAGGAAGGATTCACAGATAAGAGTTCCCAAGTTCCAGGCAGAGTTTGTCAGCAGGATCTGCCTTCACGTAAGCACTTTATATAAATTAAAAAAACTCCAACCCAAAACCAAACCCAAAACTTAAAAAATTTGCATATAAAGTCTTTTCCCTCCCCTGACCTTTTAGGTAATAGTTCATTATATTTACTCACAATGGCCTTTGGTGGATTGGATTTTATGTGAGAATGGGTACCCCAGTTGACTATTTAGGCAAAAACGGAAGCAAATTTTCTGGGCCTGTTTTTTGAAAGTTGCTTATGTAATTAAAATAGCATAAGCATGGTAAAATTTAAAATAAAGTTCTACTCACTGCCTCCAAATTTCTGTTTTACAGAACAGACAACTCCAGTCCCTCCACAAAATGTAACAGCTGGATTGACAGAAGAGACAACTCTAGTCCCTTCACAAAATGAAACAACTGGAGTTACAGCACTGACAACTACAATCCTTCCACAAAATGATACAACTGGATTAACAGAACTCACAACTACAATCCCTCCAGCAAATGATACAACTGGATTAACAGAACTCACAACTCCAGTCCCTCCAGAAAATGAAACAACTGGA